TGCGATAGCGCAGGGATGTAGGACTCGAGTAAGAGGCCTCCGCAAGAGCAGAGGTAGCACTGCAAGTGTCCTTGCGGTTGTGCGTAGTTCTGTACATTCCTCCGCGCAGATCCACTGCACTCTGATGTTCCACCATGTCAGTAGTCCACCAGATAGTGCCGTGGATGGTGAGGAATAAAGCGAGAGCTGACCACCATAGGCCAGCTCCGGCACCAAGTTTAAAGGAGGCCGGGGAGCCCGACCAGAAGCTTCGCCTTAGGCGAAGCGCAGCTCCAGCTCTGTTGTGCCGTAGTAACGATAGTCCCAGTCGGAGGAGGTCGTCGCGGGAGCGACGGGCATCTCAAGCGAAAGATGTTTTCGGTCTCGATAGCAAGTAGTAAGCCTCGCAATGAGGCGCAGTCACATGTTGGCGGCCGGCCGCTTGAGCCCAAGCGGCCACGGACAAACGCTCGCTATCTCTCGCCCTTGTCCCAGCTCACTTTAGAGTACAGATACTAGAAGAATTCGCGTCGCACGCGTCGCCCTTGCGGGGGCGACGCGCACACAGTATTAGCATGTTTGGGTGGCGCCAGTGTCCTGCCTTTTCGATTATTATCGGCATCAGAAACCTCGGCATGGCTCCAAGCTCGACCCGGATGGCTCCCAAGGAGAGTCGGGAAGGGCTCCAAGAAGACCCCGGAAACCTCCAGAGCGCCCCAGGATGCCCCAAGAGATTCCGGTCAATGAGCGGAGATCAGAAGGGTGGGCAGGTCCCAGCAAGACCTCAAAACAGCTCCAAAGGCCGCCAAGACAACCCCGACAGGCCCCAAGATCTGATAGCCGATATCCCCGACATAGCTCTCGATGGTCTAAGACAGCCCAAGACAGCCACCAAACGCCCCCAGGACGCCCGAATGCATGAAAGACCGATTTGAATGTTCTATGATTTTGCCACTCTCGTCTATTCGGTTTCTCATCGATTTCTGAGGCCTAAGACAGGCCTCGAGATTGCACCCAAATCGTCCCAGATGGACCCAAGCGTGGCCCGAAGGGCTCGAAGAGGGCTCCAGTGACCCCAAAAAACAACCCAGGAGAGATCCAAAACAAGTCACGATGCCCCATGATCGGGAGCGGCCAAGAGGGGGGTGTCCAAAGGGGGGGGGGTGCAAATCATGACCGGCGGCATGTGCGCGGCCCAGCGGGGAGGCCAGGGACGTCATGAAATAAGAAGAGGCGCCATGAAATCTGAGGAAATATCATGGCCCGCGCCATGAAATCCACCCCCCCCTAGTCATCACCCCCCTCTTTTCCGCTCCCGACAAGCGTGGCCCGAAGGGCTCGAAGAGGGCTCCAGTGACCCCAAAAAACAACCCAGGAGAGATCCAAAACAAGTCTCGGGAGCGGCCAAGAGGGGGGTGTCCAAGAGGGGGGGGTGCAAATCATGACCGGCGGCATGTGCGCGGCCCAGCGGGGAGGCCAGGGACGTAATGAAACAAGAAGAGGCGCCACGAAATCTGGGGAAATATCATGGCCCCCGCCATGAAATCCACCCCCCCCTAGTCATCACCCCCCTCTTTTCCGCCCCCGACGATGCCCCATGAGGGCCCTAGAGCGGCCCGGGATGGAGGCCCCCAAATGACGCCTAAACAACCTCAAGACGCCCCAGCACAAACCAAAGAGACCCCAAGGTAGCCCCGAGGTGGCCAAATTGTCCCAAGCCGGTCCCCAAGACGCGTGAAAAAACAGATCATGGTGCTTTCGATGCTGTTGCCTGTCTCGCCCTTACGTCTCAAAATGGCTCCTTGATTGCCCTGGATGGGTCCAAGTAAGGCTCAGAAGGGTTCCAAGAGGGCGCCGAAGCCCCCCAAGGAGAGTCCCAAGGCAGCTCCAAAAGGCTACAGGAGGGCCCTTATCGGCCCAAGAGTGGGCACCTAGGGCTGGCAGGCCCCAGGAGGACCCCCGAGTAGCCCCAGTATGCCCCCAACTCAAGGTGGGCTACAAGATACTCCGGTGTGGCTCCAAGATACCGCGCAACTACGTTGCAACGCTAATGATATGAGGGCCCCAGGGATGCGCGACGCGTTTGAAAAGCGAGCGCGAGTGCTCATTGTGACCCGCAGCATTTCCGAGAGGCCCTGCGGAGGGCAGAACAGGTCCAAACACGAACTCTCGTCTGCGACAAGCTCACACAATCCGCCACCGTGCCGTCAGCACGTAGTAGAGGGCCCCGAGGCTCCTACAGCTGTACGTCGTACAGGGGCTGGGCTGTCTTGTTCAAAAGCGCCCCAATAGTGGCCCCAACGGGCCCCCAAGATGGCTTAGGTAAGCTGCCAAAAGGCTCACAGATCGAATAATCCGCGAAGGCATGTGTAGTTGACTTCTGAGCCTGCTCAGACAGATCCCCATCTTCGGTTGAAAGCTGCCCCACTCTTTGTTCCACTGCATGCTTCAACTTTTATTTGATCAACGCAACTCATTGCAACTCGCCTGGGCATCTTGTGGGGGAATTCGCAACGCGTCAAGAATTTCAAGAACATAGTATGAACGTTGATGGCAAGTTCAGAACAAACCTAACAACGCGGGCCCAATTGACCATTCACCCTTTAAGAGGGTGATTGCTGCAGTATTGAGCGCATGTTTCGCAAAGGCACCACGAATTTGGTGCGTGAGGGTGCGTTCCAGCATCAGTGGGTCGGGCTGGGTATACTGTTCCTGCGACACCATTACCCTTCTTCCCTTCGTCATTGGGGGTCGTTCCTCCTGCTCGTCGTCGCCATTCCTCGAGAGGCACGGGGAGAAAGATTGAGGAAACCAAAAGGTACCGTTCCCGTTACTCCCCGGACATCTCCTGAGGTGCGTTCTGACCAGACTTCCGAGGCGAATCCAGCGGTAGCGACGAGGGCCTCCCCCGAGTAGCGACGAGGGCCTCCCCCGAGGCCCAAAGAAGGCGAACACGAGGCCAGGGGTACCGGTATCGGTACCTTATCCTTGTCCGAAAGACGAGGGAAAGGTGGAGGATCGGGGGCCCGCTCGACGACGACGACGCCGACGCCGACGAGGACAACGTCGACGACGACAATTTCGACGCCGCCGACGTCGACGATGACGCCGACCCGACGCTGCCGCCGCCACCACAGTCGCCGTCGACGTCGACGTCGACCACGACCACGATCACGACCACGACCACGACCAAGACCACGACCACAACCACGACGACGACGACGACGACGACCACGACGGCGACGGCGACGGCGACGGCAACGACGACGACGAGGCCGACAAGGCCGATGGCGCGGACGCTCCGGAGGCCGTGCCCTCCCCGCGCCGAGGGGCCGCTCGGCGGGGCGCGGTGGGCTCCGCGCCCAGACCTCCTCGCGCCGTTGCGAAAGGCACGACGGGAAGTTGTTCCTCCTCCTCCTCCTGCTCCTCCTGCTCCTCCTCCTGCTCCTCCTGCTCCTGCTCCTGCTCCCCCATTCCTTCTCCTTATAAATAACTCCTCCCTGTCGCACCCCGAGGCCAATTTTTAGGGCGGGCCGGGCGTGTCGCCTGAGACTTCCTCACCACTGATGACTCTGAAGTAACAACAGTTTCACAAATGGAGGGCGGGTCGCTTCAAAGATATGGCCTTCACCTTATCCCCGCGCACATTCGCTTTTCAAATTTGCAAAAGACTCACGGATTTAGGGCGGGTCGTTTTCAAAATGTGGCTCTCGCCTTAGCGCCGCGCGCATTCGTTTTAAGCGTTTGCAAGAGTTTCACGGATTGAGGGCGGGTGGTTTTGACAATGTGGCTCTCGCCTGAGCGCCGCGCACACTCGGTTCGAAAAAATGCAAGGGCTTCACAGATTGAGGGCGGGTAATTTTCAAAATGTGGCTCTCGCTTTAGCGCCGAGAGCATTCGTTTTTTGATTAAAAATGCAAGAGTTCCACGGATTCCCATGGTCAGTGTACGAGAATACTGTGTTTTGGAAGGATTCAGGATTATGCGGGCGCAACAATTAATGTTGATTCGCTGTGTTGAAGTCCCAACAGTGGCGTTCTGGCACGATCCTGGACCGTCAAGACGGAGCAGTCAGGTTGATACGTGGCGTTGAAATCCCGAAAACTGTTTTGGCACGCTTCAGGATCTTCAAACTATTGTCTTCCAGCGAGGCAGTTCCCTCGATGGAAATGAACCGCTGTAGGGGCCTATGAAGAATGAGCTTGGGGGGGAGGGTTAATTCCAACATCGTTGATGACTCTTGGGTTTCCACTGGCCCCTCCTCCTCCTCCTCCTCCCCCCTCCTCCTCCCCCTCCTCCTCCCTCTCCTCCTCCTCCTCCTCCCCTCCCTCCTCCTCCTCCTCACTCACCTCGTCCTCCTCTCCACCTACTCCTCCATTCCTCCTCCTCCTCCCTCCTCCTCCTCCTCCTCCTCCTCCCTCCCTCCTCATCCTCCCCCATCTTTCATCTCCTCCTCCTCCCCCATCATCCATCTCCTCCTCTCCTCCCTCCGCCTCCTCCTCATCCATCCTCCTCCTCCTCTCCTCCTCCTCCCCCATCTCCTCCCTCCTCCCCCTCCTCCTCCTCCTCCTCCTCTCCTCCTCCCTCTCCCCCATCTTCCATCTCCTCTCCGTCCTCCTCCTCCCCCCCTCCCCCATTCCCTCCTCCCACCTCCTCCTCCTCCCTCCTCCTCATCCTCCTCCTCCTCCTCCTCCTCCTCCTCCTCCTCCTCCTCCTCCGCCTCCCCCATCTTTCATCTCCTCCTCCTCCCCATCCTTCCATCTTCTCCTCGTCCTCTCTCCTCCTCCCCCCTCCTCCTCCTCCTCCCCCATCTTCCATCTCCTCCTCCTCCTCCTACCTCCTCCTCCTCCTCCTCCTCTCCTCCTCCTCCCCCATCTTCCATCTCCTCCTCGTCCTCCTCCTCCTCCTATCCTCCTCCCCTCCTCCTCCCTCCCCCTCCTCCCCCTCCTCCTCCTCCTCCTCCTCCCTCCTCCCTCCTCCCTCTGGCGACGAGTCGGCGCCAGCGGTGCCGCCCGGGCCACCGATGGTCAGCCCGGCCACGGCGGCGAAGTCGATGCCCGCGCCGAGGAGCAGCCCCAGGCGGAGGTCCGCCTCCCTCGGGGCCGCTCGCGGAGGGCACTCCGGGGGGCCCTCCTCCCCGCGAGGAGGAGGAGGCGGAGGAGGAGGAGGAGGAGGCGGAGGGGGAGGAGGAGGAGGAGGAGAAGGAGGAGGAGCAGGAGGAGGAGGAGGAGGAGGAGAGGAGGAGGAGGAGGGAGAAGGAGGAGGAGCAGGAGGAGAGGCAGGAGGAGGAGGAGGAGGGAGGAGGAGGAGGAGGAGGCGGAGGAGGAGGAGGCGGAGGAGGAGGAGGAGGACGAGGAGGAGATGGAAGATGGGGGGGGAGGAGGAGGAGGGGGAGGAGGAGGGGGAGGAGGAGGAAGTGGAGGAGGGGGAGGAGGAGGCGGAGGAGGAGGAGGACTCCCATGGGTCCATGTCATCTGCCGCTCTCTGTCGCTCCGTATGTTGCCTATCGCGCTCTCTCTCCCTCTCTCTCCCTCTCTCTCTCTCTCTCCCTTTCTATCTCTCTCTCCCTCTCTCTCTCTCTCCCTCCCTCTCCCTCTCCTTTTCTCTCTCTCTCTCTATCGCTTTCCCTGCTTCTCACAGGATCACTCTGTCTCTCTCTCTCTCTCTCGCAGTCCTTCCATTCTGCTTTCCCTCAGTATTCATACCTGTCCCTATCTCGCTCTCTCCCTCTCCCTACGTATCCCCCCTCGATGTACAAACATACATATCAAAATGCACGCCTGAATGATATGTGAACAAGTACCTATATGTTGTGGGTACTTGCGTATCCCTCCCTACATTTCTATATACCTATCTCTCCCTGTCGTTCTCTTCCTCCCTCCCTCTCTCACTCTCTCGCTCTCTGACTCTCTCTCTCTCTCTCTCTCCAGCTCCCTCTCTCTCTCTTTCAATATATCTCTCTCTATCTCCCTCTCTCTCCCTTTCTCTACCATGCTCTCTCTCTCTCTCTCTTTCTTTCTTGCTATCTCTGTCTCTCTCTCTCTCTCTCTCCCTGCTCTCCTGAAGCGCGTCTCTCTCCCGGCGAAGTGTCATATCTGTCTCTCCCTGGGCGTCTCTCCTCCCGACAATCTGTCCTCGTCCCGCTCCAATTTTCCCACCCTGCTCCTCGTCCTCGGCGTCCTGCGCCTCTCTTCTCCGTAGTCGTCCTCCCCCTGCTCCTCCCCGGCCTCCTCCTCCCGCACATCCTCCCCGTCCCCTCCGCTTCCCCCCCCCGCACCCAAACTCCCCCACCCCTGCCCGACGACGACGAGCCTCCGTGAGCTGACCGGCCCCGCGCACGTCGAGGTGCAGGAACGCCACCTCCGGCCAACCGCAGCGGAGCGCCAATTCTCGGATCAGCGCGGCCATGCCCGAACCTCGGCCGCAGCTCCAGGGGGAGCCAGAGGCGACGGGCGAAGAGGACGTGCCCACCAATGCCGACGCGATTGGCAGCGGCGCCCACGCATCCTCCTGCTCGCCTCGCTCTTTCGCGTCAAGTTGCAACCTGACCACCGTCTCCTGCTGCTGCCGCTGCTGCTCCTCCGCTTCCTCCTTCCCCTCCTGCTCCTCCTCCTGCTTTTCCTCCGCCTTCTCGTGCTCACTCTCCTCCATCACCTCATAAATTTCATAAACGTCCTCCCATCCTTCATCCCCCTCTTCCATCCTCCTCATTCTCATCATCCTCATCATCACCATCATCATCATCATCATCATCAACATCCTCATCACCATCATCATCATCATCATCATCATCATCATCACCATCACCAACGTCATCAGCATCATAATCAACATCAGCATCATCATCAGCATCATCAGCAACATCATCATCAGCATCATCATCAGCATCGTCATCAGCATCGTCATCATCATCAGCAGCAACTGCAGCATCACCATCATCGTCAGCACCATCAGCATCAACATCAGCATCAACATCACCATCATCATCATCATCGTCATCATCGGCATCCGAATCATCACAATCATCATCATCCGCCCCCTCATCATCATCACCACCATCACCGCCATCATCATCACCATCAGACCATCATCATAATTAGCATTGCCATCATCATTCTTTACCACCACCACTCATCATCCATCATCATCGGCATCAATATTCTGCTACTCATCCACTCTTCCCTCATGAACATCGACATGCTCGTCGCCTCTCCCCTCCCCTTGCCAATCGTGGTCATACGTCGCCATCCTTATCATCCTCATACACCTTACCGTCATCCCTGTCAGCATGACCACCATCGTCACCACCGTCATCATCAAATGCATCATCATCTTCCCCAGCATCAGCAACATCATAGCCTTCTCCAACAGCATAACCATCAAAATCATCAGAAACATCACCATCGTCATCAACAACATCATCAGCATCGTCGTCATCATCATCAGGAGCATCATCATCAACATTACCATCATCATCATCATCATCATCATCATCCCCATAATCATCAGCGTCATCGTCAGCAGCATATCCATCACCATACTACTCACCATACGTATCATCAGCATAATCACCAGCATCACCATCATCATCAGCATAAGCATCAGCAGCATCATCATCAGCATCAGCAGCATCACCATACTCATCACCAGCATAAGCATCAGCATCACCATCATCATCAGCATAATCAGCGCCAGCATCATCAGCATCACCATAACTACCACCATCCTCATCAGCAGCAGCATCATCACCATCATCATCAGCATCACTATCGTCGACATCAGCATACTCATTATCACCATGACCATCAGCATCATCATCATCGTCATTACCATCACCATTCCCATCAGCATCACCACCACCATCACCACCACCATCACCACGCGCACCTGACCCCCTCCCCCTGCTCCAACCATGGCAAATGCTGATGCTGCTTTTCCTGCTGATGCGCGCTCTCGGCGCTGCAAGAATATTCCGCCTCATGCAACTGCTCGTGGCATCTACCGCACCTCGCCTAATCGTCCGAGGAGGGAGGCGAACGAGGCACAAGAAAACCAACCTCGAACTGATCTGTATCCCTGAGATGGGCAAGCCAAAAACGATGACAATTTTAGGGCTACGCCCTCAGAAACCGAGGAAAGCCTCAAGATCGGCAACGAGATAAGACGAGGTCAAACATAGGGATAGGGATATGTTTCAGACTTGTAACACGAGGCAGAGGAACGGGCAAGTGCACGGCGGGCGTTGCCCAACGGTCATTGCGACGCGCTGACCTTCCAACATGCCGAGCGCGCGCGCGACCGGAATGTAGCGTTAGATCGGACGTGTCCTCCAACAGGCGGATTTTGGGCGAAGCAAATAAACAAAAACAGCACAGATTCAAACATATCAAAAACAATTCAAAACATCGTCCCCAGACTATCTCGTTGAGGGGCACGCCCGACTGGAGAGGAGGAGGAGGAGGAGGAGGAGGAGGAGGAGGAGGAGGAGGAGGAGGAGGAGGAGGAGGGGCACGCCCGACTGGAGCGCAGCGAGCCCGCGGACGAGCTCGTACACAGAGCGAGTTGACAGTCAGCACGGCGAGGCGGGGCCGAGGGGCGAAGCGAAGCGCGGAGGGAGGGGCACGCGCGGGGGGAGCCGAGGCAGCGGCGCGCGGCCAGGGGCCGAGGGACCTGCGGGCCGCCCTGGAGAAGGCGCCTCCTCCTCCTCTTCCTCCTCCTCCTCCTCCTCCTCCTCCTCTCCCCTCCTCCTCCTCCTCCTCCTCCTCCTCCTCCTCCTCCTCCTCCTCCTCGAAGTAGCGGCGCGCGGCCAGGGGCCGAGGGGCCTGCGGGCCGCCCTGGAGAAGGCGCCCGCAGGTACGGTCGGACCGAGGCTCAAGATCGAGGCTGGCTCGGGGAGGGAGCCAAATTGCAGTCGGGCCTGTCCTCCCACAGGGGGATCTTGGACGAAAAATACACAGTACTCGAAACATACCCCCAACTGGTCAAGCCATGCTAGAAATAATCGTCCCCTGGCTATTGTTTGGCTATGTTTGAATACTCCTCCTGCAGAGGGGCGTGCCCGACTTAAAGCCAGATGCTCTTCGTGTCTATCGTTGAAGGGGCCCTGGGACACACAAATAAATACACACAAATAAAAATATGCTCCATATGTTCCCATATTTCCTGTGTTTTTGTCTTCCCGCCCAATGCCCATATCTTCCAATATTTTCGGGGGAATCGAAGATTGATTGTGTCTGTGTGTTTTTTCCCCCTCCTGAATCGTATGCTCTTGCTGCATCCTGGGGGATGGGCCGAGGGACCGAGGGGGCCTGCGGACCGCCCAGAGGAGAGGGCAGGAGCGCCCAGGATCGAATCGAGAGTCGGGTCGGCGATCGGAAGGAATCGGATCTCGGGGACGGACAGACCTCCCTTTAGTAAAACGTGGTTTAGTGAGAACGACATTGGGCGGAAAAGGGGGGGTAGCAAAGGATTGCACGGAGGTTTTTTTTGCAATTCTTCGATTGCAATCTCGGGGATGGACAGACCCCCCTTTAGTAAAACGTGGTTTAGTGAGAACGACTTCGGGCCCAAACCTGGCGGGCGCAAGCCTGGAAACGAACGGCCACGGCGCCCTCTCGAAAACCGAAAGCGGACAATTCACTAATCGACGTGTCACTGTTGGGGGTTCTGTCCACCCCCGAGGATCCTGGCCATCGTTCGGAGCCTTGCCATCGCTCGGACGCGCATTTTCAGGTTTTGTGCGTGGTTTTTTGCTCGGTGGTCCAGGATGCTCCTCGATGGTCCTCGCCGAGAAAAACAAAACACACGTCCGAACGATGCCAAAGATCTGCGGAGATCGGCAGCCGGGTCAGGAAAAATCGAGTCGGCGGACATCGGCGGGCCAGTGTGCCTCCCACGAAAAATCGGAACCCAAGTAGAAATCCAAAGTCGAGTCGAATCGGACTCGGAAGCCATCGAAGTCGAATCGAATCGGAGGAGTCGAACCGAGCCCTGGAGAAGGTAACCGCATGTATGGTCGGACCGAGGTGTAAGATCGAGGTTGGCTCGGGGCGGGAGCCAGATGCTCTTCGTGTCTGTCGCATGCTCTTGTGCATCCTGGGGGATGGCGATCTCGAGTGATCTTATGGCTTGGGGTGTTTTGGCCGGCGGAGGGTCCCATGTTCTTGAAGGATGCTATTATGTCCTTGGTACGGGCAGGTTGCCCATGGAAGACATTTGGAGGTAACAGCGGGCTGCCCAGGAAAGGTGCTCGGAGGTGCCGAGCCCCGACCAGGGCGCCGAGCTGCGGGCGCGGCGGCGGCGGCGGCGTGAAGGCAATGGCCAAAGCCGCGGCGGGAAGGGAGCAGCCGGGGGATGCAAAAGGCAGGGCAGGTCGCGTGGGAGAGGCGGCACTGGAGCATGGCGACAGCGGCGGCGGCGGCCGCTCTGCCAGGAGTGACCACCAAGGGGGCGGGCCGGGGGCGCGGACGCGGAGGGAGCGCCAGATGGTGGGCCTTCGAAGGAGGCGCGGGTCCAGGGGAAGCCGAGGAGCTTGGCGTGGGTGGAGGAGGTGGGCGGCTAGGCCCCGCAGTTGACGCGCTTGTCTTTCAACCTGGAGATGTTGCACAATCGCCGTCCATGAAAAAGAAACGTGAGTCGACTGGCTTGCTCTCTGGAGCGTCCGCGCACGCGCTGCAGCCCTCCCCTCCCGCCCCCCCCCCCAGGCGGTCTCGCGAGCCCGAGCCCGAGAAATCTGGCAGCGCGAGCGCCTTTGGAAAGTGTTGGGCCTCGTTCAATGTGGGCGCGATCAATCAGGGGGGAAATAAAGTGCTACACGGCCCCCTCTGAGGGCCCTGGAGGGCCCCTTTTCGGCAGCCCTCGCTGCCCACCCAGATTCTCGCCCCCCCCCCCCCCCCCCTAACGTTGTGGATGCCATGACAATGAACACCCTAAAACCCGTATCATTTAATAAAACCTGTGTTTGCCTGCGTGATTAATACATCGTGAAAGCTTTTTAAAAACATCTGGAAACTATTTGGCAACATGCTTCGTCTCCGTTGATCGTCCTCCACAACCATACAGGCGGACTTCATTGGACAAGACATGCGAGAGGACAAAAGACCCTTCCGAGGGCCACATTGCCATAGGAATGCAGGAGGCATGGGTTGCGAGACAAAAGACACAAAGGTACCTTTGATTTGGCAGGGTCGACCTGCTAATCCGGGCCGACTGTAACGCGAGGCCCAAAAGGGGAAGGCGACCCTGGAGCCGGGGCGGCGGCGGCCCAGGCCGGCGCGAACCCTGCGCGGGCCGTGTGTGCGCCCGCGGGAGAAACTGCAACCCGCGGCGCAGGGAGCGGCGCGGAGCGGCGCGCGGCCAGCCTCTCCTGCGAGGTCGGCCCGCGCCGAGAGCCCGCTGGCCGCGCGCAGGGCGGGGGGCGTCAGAGGAGGAAAAGGGAGGCGTCGGAGGAGGAGGGAGGAGAGGAGGAGGAGGAGGAGGAGGAGGAGGAGGAGGAGGAGGAGGAGGAGGAGGAGGAGGAGGAGGAGGAGGAGGAGGAGGAGGAGGAGGAGGAGGAGGAGGAGGAGGAGGAGGAGGAGGAGGAGGAGGAGGAGGAGGAGGGAGGAGAGGAGGAGGAGGAGGAGGAGGAGGAGGAGGAGGAGGAGGAGGAGGAGGAGGAGGAGGAGGAGGAGGCGCCCGCGGGGTCGTGCCGTCGGCAGACGCTCGGCGCAGAGACAAGCCGTGGCCCCCGTGCCGCCGCGCGGCGGCGAGCGGGAGCAGGACGCCCCCCGGCTGTGGCTGGCGAGAACGTAACGAGGGGTCGACGGGGCTCCGCGCGTGGCCTCCCAGGGCGTCGCCAGGGCAAGCGGCCGCCTGGGCGTGGGTCGGGCTGCGCGAAGGAGCCCGTTTTCCTTTAGGTCCAGGCAAGCTTACTTGCATGGCGTTCGCCCCCCCCCCTCTCCCCCCTCGCCCCTCTTCAATCGAACGCGAGCGTGCAAGCGCCTTTCGACTTGCGTGATTTCCGCACGTCGCATTGTTTTCGGCTTGTTTCAGACTCAGCCCCCCCCCGCCCATGCAAGTAAACTTGCCCGAATCCAAAGAAAAACAGGCTCAAGGAGGTGTCGAGTTCTCGCGCAGCGAAGGGCGCAAATCCGCGCCTGGCGCTGTGGCGGCGCCCGCGGGGGCGGTCGGCAAGATTTTGGCCAACGTGGCACAGAGGCAATAATCACCCTGGCGTTGCCCCGCGGCAAAAGGGTGGACACAGGGGACCCCCGCTGGAGGGCCGGGAAGATCGCGTAGGTTCGACGGACGTGGGGTGTGTCGTCTGAAGGATCGAGTCAAGTGCATATGGGGTTCCCAGGTGGCGGGCAAAGTGCACCCTGCAGGTCCCTCCAAATTGGGCGCCTAAGAGCCACTGCGAGGCACGATGCCACTTCCGTGGTCTCAACGAGAAGTGCCCACCTTTGGAAGACGTCGTGGCACGGATGTCGCGCAACGGACGAAAGCCAAGCGAGGTGGGCAACGTGAAAGGGATGCTATCGCAGAGCTGCGATTACCCTCGGCGGTCATCGAAACATCGCAGGGGCATCGGGAAGTCGTCTCCTATGACTGCTCGTAAGTCTGTATGTCATACAGGTCGGTGCTGTGTGCGAAAATGTGGTGCGTGTCGAGCGGGCTGCGGCTGTGGAAACCCTGGTGAGGCCCTAGAACCTCCCATTCGCTTGGGTTTGTCGTGAAATGTAACCCTTGATCGATGGCTTCGGAACAAAACCACCGTGCGTTTGCACATGTATTGGCGAAGACGCTCTTCCACGTTGCGTGGGTAGCGGCCGGGAAACGGTGGGTGTGTTGCTCGTCCATGGCTGCACCTCCCCCGCTTGAGAGACGTGCGAAGCCCGTCGCTGGACCTGCGGGATGCTGGTGCGCGAAAGGCTGGTGGGCTTGCGCGACCCTTGCCCGGACATGGACTGGCCGAGCGATACCAAACACACCCAGACACACACGGCAGTCGTGGAATACGTTGTGGGGCCAGCTGCGTGGGACACGCCTTCTGACCAATGAAATCGGAGGCCCCAACCCCTTGAAAGCAAATTGGGACTAATGTGGGAAAACTGTCTCTGTCCGCGCCCTCATGGAACACGCCTGCAACGGCCCCGCGCAAACCGCGTATTCTCTCCTGGCTGCGTGCTCGCATGAAGATTTCGATTATCCCCAAGCCGTTCACTCACCGATTGCGTGTTTGCCCGCCTCCCCGGTTGAGCTTACTGCCTTTGTGGCCGTACGCCGTGCTCCGACGACACGGTCGGCTGACCCCACGACGGCGTCTAGTTGAAGATGCGCCCTCCTCCTCCTCCTCCGGCTCCTCCGCATCCTCCTCCTCTTCCTCGTCCGCGTCGTCATCGTCGTCGTCGTCGCCAGGAGGGTCCTCGAGCGCCCCGAGGCTCCTTAATTGCGGGCGCCTTGAGGCAGCTTCCCCTGAACCCAGGCTTTGGGCACGGATGCCGAATTGCAGCAGACAGCTGGATTGTCAATGGACGTGTTCAGACACAGCCCCGCCGCAGGCGCCGATGTGCTGTTGTAGAGTCAGCGCGGGCCAGATCGTGGGAATGGCACGAGAGCGCTTTCCCAAACCAACGCGAGCAAGCCCGCCGCAGGCGCCGATTTGCGTGCTCTGACAAAATCAGCGCGGGGGG